TGAGGAAACTTATTGAAGGTGATGGGTATGTTTATCATCTTGATTGTGGTGATGGTTTCACAAGTGTATGGAATGTGTCCAAACTCCAAACTCATCAAATTACATTCACTAAATATATGCAGGGTTTTTCTGTGTATCAGTTATACCTTAAAAAAAGAATGGTGTGCCAATAAACTAGCCATGGGATAGAGAGGATCCCAGACTTAGCGTAATTGCCAATTTCCATGGTATAAATATTCCCACCCTGACCAATGAATGTCCAGCTACTGTGATATCACTGAACTTGGAGTTGGAAGAGATGCACACCTTCTCACTGTACAAGCCGGCTCTGGTATGCCACTAGATAAGAACGCTTTGGAGACAACTGAAGAAATTTGAAAGTAGACTGGGTATGTTGGCTGATATTATTAAATTTATATAGATTTTCTTAGATGTGGTAATAGTAATGGGAATGTGTGGACGAGTGCCTCTATTCTTGTGAGATATATGCTGGAATATCCTGATGGCATCCCCGGTGTTTAAAGACTACAGTCAGGGCACCTGGGTGGCTCAGTGTGTTAAGCATCTGCCTTCAGCTCAGGTCATGATCCCAGGGTCCTGGGATCGAGTCCTGCGTCAGACTCCCTGCTCTGCAGGGAGTCTGCTTCTCCCTCTGCCCCTCCTCCCATTCATTCTTTCAATCTCTCTCTCTCTCAAATAAAAATATAAGATCTTCAAAAAAACATAATAAAGGCTATACTCAGATGGGTGTGTGTATGTGCACGTGTGTGTGTGTGTGTGTATTAAAAGAAGAAGAAAATGTACCAAGAGGTTGATGGCTGAAGATATGGGTGAGGGATACATTGTTGTTCGTTAACAAAACTGTTCTTTCAACTTTTCTGAGAGCTTAATATTTTTCAAAAGAAAAAGTTAATTTGTTACCAACTGAAAATTTCATATAAAAATCTGGATTTTCATTTTCTATTGAAGAGTCTGAAATTGCAATTTGGGGCTCATGTTCTCAAATAGTACCATTTACCTGAAAGCTAACAGACTGGAGATGTGCTTTCCAGTCGATCTTAACCTGGCCCTCTCCTCCTTTGAGTTACCCTCCTGAGCCCAGTGCATTTGTGCTCCTGGTCCAGAAACCATTCAATGAACTTAAGATGGCCAGCTTCCAAGCACTTGATGGAGAAGAAAAAAAGATGGTGCCTATTTAGTATTCTATTGTTGCTTCTGTAATTATTCTTTTGTATGGTTTCCTAGGCTAATATTTAAAACTAAATTTATGCTTTCTCCAACTCGTTTTACCAGCTCCCTCTGCTGACCCTTTCTAAAAGGATGACACTGCTTAAATCCCTTATAAGTTCTGGATTTTAAAATCATATTTCTGGGGTTAGAGAGCTCTAGACATGAAAGAACTTGATGAAGTGACAGTCACCTAAATTACTTTATTCTTTGGACTGCCCCTATGATGGCTCAAGGGACTAATGACGCAAAAGTGTTTGGCAGGCCGCAGGCCTGTTTCAGGAGCGGCTGTGACGTTGGAGGTGACTTTGGCGCCCTCTAAAGGTTACCATGAGAAGAGCAGCCGCTCAACAAGCTTTCCTTGAAGTTTATGGCTTTGCCGGAACTGTGACGTTTAGGAGGGCGGGGAAAAGGGGCAGAAGTTGTTTATGTTCTTCGAATCCAAAGCCAGTATTCTAACTCGTCGTTTAGCCCTCCCCTGAGATCACGAAGTATCCAGCTCTTGTCCTACACAACTTTTTATCCTCAGTGAGTGGGACGCTTTCTGCTGTCACCAGGATGACTGGGAAGGCAAATGGTTTTGTTTCACTCTGAGACCACTTGATCAAAGTCAGCTTTCCTTTGTTTTCCTTTTAGAACAAAGACTTTGAGTTTTGAAAAAAATAATTTAAGGCAAACACTGTCTTTGTCTATTTGCTTTGAGAAATAATTTGTCAGAGTATCTGCTCTGTGCCAACAAGGTAAGTGTCCTGGATTATTCTTCTTTGCTGTTGTCTTTTTTTTTTTTTTAATGGGGAGATGTTTCCAGAAACTGCTTTTGCAGAGGATGAATATTCTCCTTGGTAAGTGCATTCCTTAAAAATGTATGTGATTCTCTTCTTCAGGAGCCTCTTCATTAGGGTTAAATTAAGGAGAAAGAAAGCAAAGGAGCATTGTAAGGAAACAAAGTTAGGTTGTAGGGAGAAACCATCTGAAAGAAAGGTGTTGGTTGGAATCATAGAATCATGGGACTTTCTATAATTCTCTTCTCACCTCTGATTTCATCTGATGGATGAGCTGGTAGTGCCAGGCATTGGGAAACATAAAATCCTCCACAGTTTGGTAAAAGGAAATTCTATAACAGTGTAAGGGCATTGGTGGGTGATGATAAGAAATATAAACAGATGAGATTCAAATAAATCATAATCCATAATCCACCGCATGATTTGCAAATCACCCAAACCTCTCCATGTCTCAAAAATGATTCCTACATTTTCTGGTCTGGCAGGTTTGGGATGGGGTTTTCATGTCATTCAAAAGTCCAGCTCAATAGTTTAGGGCTCATCTCTACCAAGGAACTCATTATAAGCAACCTTTGAGCTACAGAGGACCTTCCATTCTTAGCACCCTTTCTAGTTTACAAAGAGCTTACACACACCTTATGTCCTCACCCCACCCAGCCCTCAGCCCCCACCCTTCGAGCCTGCAGTATCTCTCCTACCTTTCAATTCACACCTATTTTGGTACCAAATACTTGTCATTCAGACATAAAAACAATTCTCTTGGGCTGGAGGGGAAAACTACTAGAAACCTCTGTTTTACAAATGTGGGAACAATCTCACAGGGAAATAAAGATATTGTTTAAATGTATACAGCTGGTTAGAGGCAGAGGGAGAACTAGAACCCACATCTGCCATTTCCAATTCACTCACCAACTTCCCTCAGTGATTTGAAGCCTGGTTTTTTTTTTTGTTTTTTTTTCTTTTTTTTATTATTATGTTATGTTAATCACCATACATTACATCATCAGTTTATGACGTAGTGTTCCATGATTCACTGTTTGCGTGTAACACCCAGTGCTCCACGCAGAACGTGCCCTCCTCAATACCCATCACCAGGCTAACCCGTCCCCCCACCCCCTCCCCTCTAGAACCCTCAGTTTGTTTCTCAGAGTCCATCGTCTGTCATGCTTCGTCTCGCCCTCCGATTCCCCCCCTTCATTCTTCCCTTCTTACTATCTTTTTTTTTAACATATAATGTACTATTTGTTTCAGAGGTACAGATCTGTGATTCAACAGTCTTACACAGTTCACAGTGCTCACCATAGCACATACCCTCCCCAATGTCTATCACCCAGCCACCCCATCCCCCCCCACCCCCCCCACCACTCCAGCAACCCTCAGTTTGTTTCCTGAGATTAAGAATTCCTCGTATCAGTGAGGTCATATGATACATGTCTTTCTCTGATTGACTTATTTTCGAAAACTGTTTTTTAAATCACTGCCCTCACTCAGAGATTTTTAATCTGCAAGTGTTGTGTAATTTTAAGAGACATAAATTCCCAGTTTGTTATTGTGGCTGTACAGTCTCTTAAGTTGGTCTGTAAAGGACAAGGTGTTTTCACCCCAGAAAACCACAGCCCACTCAGCGTCTCTAACTAGGCCTCCAGGCAGAGTTAAACAGCCCAACAGTGCTGCAAACATGTGTACCCAGAGCACGCTGCTATTACAGAAACATACCATGTGACATCGTGTGTGTCCACATCTCTCCATATGGTAGCGTCTCCTTGTGGACAGTCACTGGGTCTATTTAGTACTATTATTTAGTCATCGGGTCTTCATCTTTGGGTCCCTCACACTTGACTCAGTAACTGCACTTAGAGATACCCAGGGTGCATTGTTGAATGAATCAATTTCCTACCAGTCTATTCACTGTAGCCCATTTTGCACTTTACCAGTTCAATTAGGCAACCACTTCTTTTGTGTTACTATTGCAAAGACAGAGCCAGCTGAGATCTACCAACTTCAGGCTTCTACTTAGTGGCCTGGAAATTCCAGTGTTCTTGTTGGCGGAGGCCATTCATTTCTGATTAAAAGCTGTCTAGAAATCCTACTCCTCAACCTAAAGGAAACCACAGGTATGTATGCGTAATTTTTTCCAAACTTGCTGATTAATTTTGTCTTTGTGAGCTGTCTTTTCTAGGAGAAAGAGAGGGAAAGAGAGAGACAATTAGGGAGCTAGGGAATGAACACTGATAAACATTTGGTGGTAGGCACTTTTGTATAAGTAATGTCACTTCATTTAAAACAGACAATTCTTCAACATAGCCAGTTTGCTGGGATTAACTGAGTGGTGAGCCCATCTGTCAATACAAAAGCTGTATCAATGTTTGCAAATTATAATACCAAGAAAAACTGGTTATAAATCCCTGGGACATGTACTTCCTCCAGTCTCTACTGACAAACATGGGCATCTGCATTTCCATAAGACCTCATCAAGAATGTCCCATATAACTTTCCTTGGGGACTTTCTTCTAAATTATGGTCAGTCTGTCTTGCCTCTGTGCAAGATTAAGGCCTGCCCTTAATTCATGGAATATCTTTGTTGTATGGCAGGAGATGACCCATGGCCAGCTATTCTTCAGGACTCTAGATGCTTTGAATAAAACATTTTTGCTAGCTGCAGTTCCTAGGGTCCAGAGGGTCTAGGTGGTAGCAAAGGGCTCTTTTAATACCGAGAGGATCTAAAGTCCCAAGGGGCACCTGGCTGGCTCAGTCAGTAGAACATGTGACTCTTAATCTTAGGGTCATGAGTTCCAGCCCCACATTGGGCATGGAGCCTACTTAAATAATAATAATAATAAAATAAAACATGTTTAAAAAATTAAACATAAATAAATAAATAAATAAGTCTCAGGGGGATCAAGGTCCTGACTATACTAATTAATAATAAGAACTAAATTTAAATGAGCACTTACTATGTAGGAGACACAATTCTACAATCCTTCCAACATATCAATCATTTCATTTCATAACAAATATTTAAGATATTATTACTATTATTATTTCCATTCCCATTGTACTCAATAGAAAACTGAGGCCCAGAGAAGATAAACAGCTAGTCCGAGGTCATACTATTAGTAAGTGACACTAAGATTTAAACCAAACAGTCTGATTTCCAGAGTCTGATTTCATTTTTAACCAAAATGTGAATCTGCCTCAGCTCAAAGAGGGTGTGTATACCACTCTAAGAGTTGAGTTCTATGACAGGAGGTTCCTTCCAGTCTTGTCATAAAAAGAAGCTCAGCCCAGCCTTCCCCCAACAGAGTACCATGGCCAGGCGAGTTGCAGTGATTGGAGCTGGTGTGAGTGGCCTGTCCTCCATCAAGTGCTGCTTGGATGAGGACCTGGAGCCCACCTGCTTTGAGAGAAGTAACGACATCGGGGGACTATGGAAGTTTACTGTGCGTAGTTTGTGCCCTCCCACCTCCATCAGTCATAATCTGGCGGTCTGCTTTGTCCCTGCTCATGCATGGTGGCTTCAGCCTACCTTGATGATCACATAAAAAAGCAGCTCACCGCAACACCACAGGCTTGTGTGCAGCATAGTGATGAACCTGGAGACTTGGCAGAGCAGGGGCAGTTGGAAGAGGGAGGAAGGAAGAGTTAAGTCTAATAACACAAGCATAGTATTGGAAGTTACAGTGATTTCTAGACCATGGACATTCTGAGACAAAGTAACAGTGTCGCCTAGGTTAGGCTGAATGGCATTGGTGAATATGGAGCAGATGACGCTTTTGGAAGGATGGAAGTTGGCATCAGGGAGCAGAGCTCCAGCCCACAGGATTATTCAGGTCTTTGGGAAGAGAATTGGCAGGAGTGAAGCAAGAATCCACCCCTGAAAGGTTGGGGTAGGCGGTTGGGTAGCTTTCACATTATCACAATAAAAAGAGCCAAGGCACTGATCAATCCTTCTAAGGAGTGGAATGTGCATCCTGGGGGGGTTATACCTAGGGCTAGGCCAGCTGTTAGGTGACTTGAGCAACAAAAGTAGGGGCTGGAAGTGGCCAAATACCACCTGCCTCGGGCCAGGATTGGTCCTGGTAACTAGGAGTAGCAGGATCTTCAGCAGGGACCTAGGGATCCGTCCCATTGGTGGAGTATAAAGTGTCAGAAGATAGGCGGTCTAAGTACTGGATGCTTCGGGAGTAATTGAAAAGCAACGTTCAGTGGGAGCTCATGGTGGAGGAGAGTGCTTCAAACTGGTATGAGGGAAGCCTTCATGGAGAAGGTGGCATGGGCCAGTCTTTGATACACGGCAAAGAAAACAAAAATAGCAAATGTATGTAAGCAGGTATGGTCACAACCCTAGGATTATAGTGTGCTAGGGGGAAAAGCTTCTTCTGGTGTACTGTGACCCTGATTGAGCCACCAAATGTCAATGTGGAAAGAAAACACTGGGTCTGGTTTGTGTACCTTCTGCTATTGGACCCCACGGTTGGTTTGGTTTTCTTCCCCCACTCTAAAGTAATATAGATAAATTTTAGAAAATAATTTTGAGTTAAAAAAAAAAGAAAAAGAAAATAAGAGTGTCTGGGTGGCTTAGTTAAGCATTTGACTCTCGATTTCGGCTCAGGTCATGATCCCAGGGTCCTGGGATCGAGCCCCTCATCGGGCTCCCTGCTCCTCAGGGAGCCTGCTTCTCCCTCTCCCTCTGCCACTCCCTCTGCTTGTGCTCTCTCTCTCTCTGTGTCAAATAAATAAAATCTTAAAAAAATAAAATAAAATAAAATTAGAGTCTTCAGTATAAGTGCTGATGGGAAGGAGCCAATAAAGAGAAAGTGACTGAAAATATACATGGTGGGGGACCTGGGGGATCAGGTCATGATCTTACGGTCATGGGATCGGGCCCCATATTGGGTTCCACACTCAGTGCAGAGTCTGCTTGAGATTCTCTCTCTCTCCCTCTGCTCCTCCCCCCCACTTTCACGTGTGTTCTCTCTCTCTGAAATAAATAAATAAATCTAAAAACAAGAAAAAGAAAATATACCTAGACAATAAATACAAAAATCAGTGAGGAGTTCTGTGAGCAAAGGCAGGAGGAAGAAGTCCTCATGAGTGGAGGGACTGAGGATGGCAAAAAAAAAGAAGAAAAAAATAAACAAGTCAGACCGTAGGCCTCATGTTCATGGAATCACTGAATGGCAATGTTGGTCTTGGAGAAGCCTGCTAAATTTGTTAATTTCTTTGTAGTTTGAGAAAGATACTGTGTTTAATAATTCCAGTCCCACCAATGATTTCTGACAACGATAGCATGGAGATCCAATGCTGTTTTCCTGGAACTCTTTGTAATTACAAATGGAATCTCTTTTCTTCCTGCCTCCCCCACCCCATCAAGCTAACTATGTTTCACCACAGGAAACTTCTAAAGATGGGATGACCAGGGTCTACAGATCATTAGTGACAAATGTCTGCAAAGAAATGTCATGTTATAGCGACTTCCCCTTCCAAGAAGATTATCCCAATTTCATGCACCAAGGAAAATTTTGGGATTATCTCAAAGAATTTGCTGAGCACTTTGACCTTCTGAAATACATTCGGTTTAGGGTAAGACAACTTGGGTTATGGAAGGTTAATGAATGGGGGCTGCCCATTCAGCAATCTAATGGAAAAGGGATCCTAAGTAAATTTATTCCTGATTTTATCTCTATCTGAATAAGGTAAATAATAAAGACTCCTCACTTCTCCCATTTCTCATGTTTTACTCAAATAAATCATTAAGATACTGACTTTCCTGATTCCTCTTCTGAATCCAAATTCTTATTCGGGATGCAATTTAGAAAATTTTTTTTGAGACGAAAGGAAAAATGAATTTTGTTCATGAAACCTGCTGGGAAGAAATGACTAGGAATCTGAACCACAGGAATTACAATGAGCCAAAACTCTTCCTACATTTTCCCAATGCATTCAGTATTGTAACTCATCTCCTCACTGGGAATAAGAACTAAGTGTTTCTTCCTTCCAGTGAAGGCATGCAGATGTTTTGGGTCCTACACTATAGGACAGCTTTTGAGACTTTGTACAGGTTACTTAATTTCTTTATCGGGAAGATAAACCAATATTGACAGACCTCTTACCCTGAGACAGGCTTGGCCCACGTGAAATAACAAACATGGTTACCATACCAGCCATTTCATGAGGTCCCAAGGTGATTGACAGAAAGTGAGTGTTTGTCTGCCACTTTCAGACCACGGTGTGCAGTATAACGAAGCATCCAGACTTCTCTGAAACCGGTCAATGGGATGTTGTCACAGAGACAGAGGGGAAGCAGGAACGAGCTGTCTTTGATGCTGTCATGGTTTGCACCGGACATTACCTGAATCCCCATTTACCATTGGAGTCCTTTCCTGGTGAGTCATTTCTACCTGAAACCATATCTACTCTTCTGGGTTCTCCTCGAAGAAAGTCATTTATCTGTAATTGGAAATTATTCCTAATGATTAGAGACAACTCTGTGTTCACCCTAAGAAATAATATGTACAGATCTTTGAAAGGTATAAAGCACTATGTAGGTGTCTTCTTATTTACTTATTAATATAAATGCTGCCATTACTGAAGTTTATCATGCCTGTCTGATTCAAGTTCAATGATCACATAAGGCTTATGTGTCATAAAAAAAATGCAAGCTTTTAAATTTTGTCATTGAATTTCAGGTCATTTGAATCAGGAGTGATCTGTAATTCAAAAACTTAAAGGAAGTGAGAGTATAAAGAAACTTGACAGATTTGTTTTTAAGAAACTGAGCAGCAATTATACATCCAAAGAAATATTTTCATCCTTCAAAACAGTCACCACAATAATAATCCATACATCTCTTATACCAAGGCTATCACCACAAAGGAGTTTTAGAAATTCCTTTTGGAAACGCTTTTGACTCCAAGAGCACATTTTTTGAAATGTACAGTTGGCCTTTGAACATCCCAGGGGTTAGGGACGCTGACCCCCTACATAGTCAAAAATCCCCGTATAACTTTTGACTCTCCCCAAAAAACTTAACTACTAATGGCCTACAGTTGACTGGAAGCCTTATTAATAATATAAACAGTCGATTAACATATATTGTATATTATATATTATATACCATATTCTTACAACAAAGTAAGCGATAGAAAAGAAAGCATTACTAAGACCATAAGGAAGAGAAAATACCATTTATAGTACTGTATGGTATTTATTGAGAAAAATCCATGTAGAAGAGGCCCCACATAGTTCAAACCCATTGTTGTTCAAGAGGCAGCTATACTCACGATTGGCAGATCTCCATCTTTTGAGATCAAATGAGGATTTTTAAAATGTAGTACAGCTACTCTTCTTCTGTCACTTATAAGTGGCTTTAAAGGCAATTGAGTAAGTGAAGTTTTGAAACTTCATTAAAGAATTGAAAGAACGTTTAAGGAAGAGTGTGAAGAATAAAGCTTGCAAACCTGGGCCAATTAAAAAAAACAAAATGTTTGTAAATCTTATAAATGTAATCTCAAATTAACAAAATATCCCACTTTAAACAAATGTTTTAGGGATCAAGTGAGACTTCAGTGCATAATTTTGCGAAGAAGCAATTGTATAAATGGTGATTGGGCTTCAGACTTGCAGCAAGCCTGTGGGCTCAATACACAATGGCACTGGACTAAAGAAATATAGAAGCACCTCTTATAAAGAAATTTCTACGGGGAAATGTGTTACAAGTGTCAAATAATTGATGTTTTTGGAATGTAGTGTCTTGTCAGGTTTGGCTTGGCTTACCCTCAGTTCACTTAGACTCTGACCAAAAGATGCTATTGCAAAAAATCAGCCGAGTACTGAGAGGTAAGGAGCCTTGTGGCAGTTTAAAAGTGTATAATCTGGAAGAGTTAGTTCCAAGGAAAGAGACTGGGCAAACATAAAGTAGAATTGCAAGGTAGTTTGGGATCATTTCAAGAGCAAATATTTCTCTATGCCAATGACCTCTGGGGAATAAATGATTGCATTAGAAGTATTGGTGTGCCCTTCTCTTTTGCCCCAAAGCCCAGATTATGGAAAAGGAAGAAACCCACACATACAGATTTCAGTGATCCTCCTCAGGAGGTCTAAGTTTATGACCAGACTCTAGAAGGATTTGTGACAGCAGGACACCAGGACAGATACCCCAGTTTCCTCTGTGTCCCCAGAATGAGGAATCTTGGTGAGTGGACACAGTGGAAGGTTTCTAAGGAGTTCTGACCTGCTACAGTTCCCTCAGGGCAATGACCCTTGATGATAAGTGTCCTTTAGCATACTAGTTATGAACAAAATCCTTAAGTCAGCAGCCTGGACCACATCCCGGTTCTAATTGCAGAATCTTGGGTAAACTTCACCCAATGACTCCATTTCATAGAGCGGTCATGAGAATTCAATGAGATCATCCATGTAAAATACTCAGCGGAGGACAGAGCACATAGGAGCACTCCATCAACACTAGCTACTAGCACTGTGACTCATGACCTACTGGGAACTAGTATGAACCTTTTGAAAACTGTTCAGAAGGAGCTGCTTCCTAAGAGCCATGTGATTCCCCCAGACTAAGAACTATCCATCCCTCTGTTATAACTCCTGCCTCAGCAGCCATCCCACCCGAGTGCGCGCTCCTCCTCTATCCCAGGTGGGAACCCCTGGGCGGGTAACGCAGACATCAGTTCCACATTCCTCTCCCACACACAGAAGCTGTGTAAGAGTGACTCTCCAACCACATATCAATTGTGATCGTTAGTTATAGATGAGTGATGTGAATGCCTAATTATGTTTGATCAATTATTAATAAATCTCTTGAAACTTTGTGAGCATGGTAAATGGAATTCAAGTGCATTTCCTAACACATAACATTAGGGCAGTAAGTATAAGAAGAACAAACCACAGCAGCAAAGCGTTCCAGAGATAATTAGTGACAAGGCAAACTAAGTCCCATGCCCCTCAGCAGACCCTGAGGGTGTCACTATATAAGAGGACAATGTAATAATTGAAGGTTATAAGGATGACCTTGAGTTATCAGTATGTTCTAGTTTTAGGACATAAAACATATAACACCCTTCAGAAAGATTTCTGTAAAAAAAAAATTAAGATTTTGATGTTTCTGTGTTAAATTGCCCAGTTGTCTGAAAATTTCTCTCCCCTGAATGTTGCATTTCCTTGGCATCAAATGATGCATTTATTATATTGCATTAGACTTCCCCAAAGTGAGGGGATGGCACTCCAGAGGTGCTCAGTAGTCCCCAGTTCTCCTCTCCCTGTCCCCATCCCCATGCACGGATGTGAGATAGAAAAAGGAAAATATGGTAAAAATGAAAGCTGAACCTTGAAGTAATTTTCCGTGACAATAGTATGTTTAATATGTGCTTATTGAATGAAGTCAGTTACCCAACAGTCTTTTATGAAAACAGCCTGAAAGAAAAGAACTAGTGTAATGATAGATGTAGGCTTTGACCTCAGCACAGTGTTTCCCAACAACTGCCAAGACCTGAGGTGCTTATTTTAAAAAGCAAGTTAATGTGTTGTTTACAGAATAAGAACCTCCGAAAGTGGGACCCTGGAATCCTAATGTTTCCCCAGCAATGTGATTCTCATGGAAACTAAAGGTTAAGAATCATTTCCATAGTCCAAGTAGAGGCAGCCTCGCCCTGTGGTTACCATGGGGTTAAGTTCAAGTTGTGCCTCTGACGTTTATTGGCACCTGGGCAAATCCTGTGTCCTAAGTCCCTATTTCTCCACCTGTAAAATGAAGTACTCATAGCACCTTCTTCCTAGGGTTGCTTGAGGATGAAATCAGCTGCTAGCCATGGAGTGCCTAGCACAGGACCTAGAACAGGACCTGGAACAGGACCTAGAACAGCTCAGTGGAACTTCTGGGTGTTGGTATGAAAGAATTTTGCCCACTCTTTTGCAGAAAAAGAAATGGAAAAAAAATTACTAGTGCCAAATTAAATATAATTATTTTCTGTTTCCAGGGCAAACTCAATCACTTAAGTCATTTGAGGGAAAAAAATAGCTTGAAAGGTAACACAAATTGGAGTCATAAAACTGGAATTTAAATCCTGTCTCTGGTACTTATTAATTATATGGCCTTAAGCCAATCGCTTAACCTTTCTAAGCACTAATGGATTTACCTGTAAGACAGGGATGAATAACTACCCCTCCAGGAGGATTGCTGCAAATCTGAATTGCGAGAATAACTATGGAAGCACCTGGCTGAGCACAATTCATTAAGATTTTTTTGTAAAAGGTAACTTCCTGCTAAACTGTAACGTGAATTCATTCTTTGAGTAACAACGATGCAATTTACCGTGCACAAAGCCATGACAGAATGATACTGGAAGAGACAGGGGAGGGTACTGGAGCATAACACGGATGTTAAAAGTCCAGGATCTTGCATCAGAGTACTTGCATTTAAATTCCCAGCTCAGGGCTCCTGGGTGGCTCAGTCGTTAAGCATCTGCCTTCGGCTCAGGTCATGATCCCAGGGTCCTGGGATGGAGCCCCTCATCGGGCTCCCTGCTCAGCGGGAAGCCTGCCCCACTCCCCCTGCTTGTGTTCCCCCTCTTGCTGTCTCTCTCTCTGTCCAATAAATAAATAAAATCTTAGATAGATAGATGATAGATAGATGATAGATAGATGATAGATAGATGATAGATGATAGATAGATAGATAGATAGATAGATAGATAGATAGATAGATAAATTCCCAGCTCTTAGGGCACCTGGCTGGCTCAGTCAGTGGAGTGTGCAACTCTTGATCTCAGGGTCACAAGTTCAAACCCCACGTTGCATGTGGAACCTACTTATAAATTAATTAATTAATTAAATAAAGTAAGTTCCCAGCTCTCTATTCATTGGCAAGTGCGATGTCACAAAAATCACATAATCCTTACAAATCTGTTTCCACATATGTAAGATGAGTAAAAATAGTATAGACTTCAAAGGGTTATTGTGAGAAAAATCCACGCAATCACTTTATATATGTTATTAGAACTGCAATACAAAATGTCCTTTGGATCTATTAAGGATTCCCTGCCCTCAATTTATTCTGAGGGAAAAGATTATAATCTCTTTCTTTCTAAAACAACCCCGACTCCATTCAGATGAAGCATTAAATTGAAGTTCCATCTGCCTGAGTTTAGAAGTTATTAACAATGTTAAAGTTCCTTACTGCTCTGGTTTAGAAAAAGGAGGATGTACATACATGTGTCCTAGCTGACGTTGCCTTTTTTCTGTTAAAAAAAAAATATATGGATGGGGCGCCTGGGTGGCTCAGTCGGTTAAGCTGCTGCCTTCGGCTCAGGTCGTGATCCCAGGGTCCTGGGATCGAGCCCCACATCGGGCTCCCCGCTCCACGGGAATACTGCTTCTCCCTCTCCCACTCCCCCTGCTTGTGTTCCTGCTCTCGCTATCTCTCTGTCAAATAAATAAATAAAATCTTAAAAAAAAAAAAACTACAGGTGAATTGTCAAAAAAAAAAAAGACCCCCACTCTGCATATATGTATGCTGAAATGCACAGCTCTGTTCTGTAAAGGAGAAAAGACTTTCCCTCTACCCTCCTCAGTTTGATAGGCAGATTAGAAGGGAGAAAGGTATACAGATTTATTAATTTTTAATACTAATATGGGGGCACCATAGGAAAATAATGAATACCAAAAAAAAGCTGTGAGATTTGAGTGTTTATATACCTTCTTCATAGGGAAAGGGGATGGGGTGTAGGCCATCCAGGGGAGAGCAAATGTTTCTAGAAAGATGAATAGGCTCTTAGAAGAATGGATGGGAGATACAATTGTTTGTGACAACGTTTGTCTGGGTATAGACTTCTACGGTCCTCTTCTGTGATATAAGAACCAATCTTCCCTGGTTGGTGAAACTGCCAGGAAAGAGATTTATGACCATAGGAGTCTTTTCCAAGGATCTGCCTTTAGGCAGATGAGGGGAGTTCAGAGAAAGCCTCTCCCTGCCTTTGCTGTTTTTCAAGATCCTTCACTTGAAATAATCAGTATATCAAAGCGGCACATTTTGGGTAGCATGTCCTGTACTCCTTCAGTGGTAAAGTAAATATTTCAAACATGACAGCAATCCAAAAAAATAACATCAAGTCATCATACAATTTCCTCAAGGAAATGACAAGGCATTGGAAGACAAAGCCCTGGCCAAAATCTGAACAGTTTGGGAATAAATACCAGAATTTCTGTCAATCTTTACTTAGACCAGAAGGCAAGAGAGCTACAACTGTTTGGGTAATGATTTCAAATGCTGTCAAAACCCCTCTGACATCTGGCCAAGATTTACTCTTTTTAAGATGCCTTTTCTGCTGGGGCGCCTGGGTGACTCAGTAGGTTAAGCATCTGCCTTCAACTCAGGTCATGATCTTGAGGTCCTGGGATGGAGTTCTGCTCAGCGGGGAGCCTACTTCTCCCTCTGCCTCTCCACCCCCCGGCTTGTGCTCTCTCTCTGACAAATAAATAAAAATTTAAAAAAATAAAATCTTCAAAAGATTCTCAAAAAAAAAAAAACAAAAAAAGATGCCTTTGCTGCTTTTCACTAATCACCACGGATCTTTCACAAGTAGTTGTAAGATTGATGTTGAGCTGGGGGAGGAAAAACTTGCTACCAGGGTAGCCAGCTCCCCTTGCAAGCAGCTGTAGCCACAGCCTGTCAAGCTTGGGTAAAACACCAGGCCCCAGGCTTCAGAGACTCCAAGAGTCAAGGTCTCACAGTGGTCTCCTTGCAGCCCCTCAAACCTGCCCCCATGTCCAGGGGACAGAAAATGTCACAGCACTTTAAGTTCTTTCCTGAAATTCTCCAATTTCCAGCTCCTGGCCACTTCAACTCCAATCCCCAAAAGTGAGTGAGGGGCTAGGGATCCCCAAAACGGGTCTGCATACACATTCTTTGCAAATTCTGCACAGTGGATTTAACACATCCCTTGGAATACGGCCAGCATTGTATTCAGTTTCCAGCTTGGGGGGCCTTAGGAGGCAAAGAATCCAATTAAAATATTGTGTTACACATATTACTTATGCAACAACTGTTATTAGGTAAATCAATCACTGTATGATAGGAGAATGATATATTCTGGGAGACAGTTTCATCTTTTTATTTTTTAGATTTATTTCTATTTATTTTATTTTTTTAAGATTTTATTTATTTATTTATTTATTTGTCAGAGAGAGAGAGCGCGAGCACAAGCAGGGGGAGCTACAGGCAAAGGGAGACGTGGGCTCCCCGCCAAGCAGGGAGCCCAATGCAGGACTCTATCCCAGGACCCTGGGATCATGACCTGAGCTGAAGGCAGACGCTTAACTGACTGAGCCACCCAGGTGCCCCTATGTCTATTTGTTTTAGAGAGAGAGAGTGGGGGAAGGGACAGAGGGACAGGGAGAGAGAGTCTTAGACTCCCCACCGAGTGCGGAGCCTGCTGCGGGCTTGATCTCATGAACCTGAGATCACAACCCTGAGACCACCACCTGTGCTGAAACCAAGAGTTGGGCGCTTAACCAACTGCACCAACCAGGCACCCCTTCTTTTTATTTTAAAATTTCAGAAATGCTTGAAGCATTGGGGTGAAAGGCTGTCAAACCCTCTGAACTGCAATGCTTCCCTTTTAGATTCATTGTCAGAACTTCGTCTCACCCATCTGTGGGTCTGACGGTCACTGCCCCCATCACTCTTGTTCCGGATCTGCCACCTCATAATTCCCGTGGCTGCCGCTGCCACTGGAAACACCTCTACTTCTTCTGTTACTACCAGTCTTCATTTATATGAATCCATGCTTTATGTCTTTTATAGATGCCAAGGAGATAGTTACCAAAAATAAATCAAGAGAAGAAATATTTGAGAACCTTCTCATATACATAAATACCATAATAGTGACACTTCTATTAACAGAGTGTTAAGAACTTGAAAGGTGGTCAGTAACACAAATATAAATAATGTAAGAAAAGAGTATAAATAAGCGCACAGTATAATAAAGCATTAAGCATATAATAAAGAATAAAGTAAAATTACATTAAGTATAAGTAGCAAGCCTAAACCACAAACTTATTACTTTATGTACAAGAGAACTTGCCACAAAATTTATTTTGTGGAAAATTGTAATTGAACTAAAATTCAATCTGTAAATGTGTTATGTACACAAACCATATTCTCATAGACTATATCTGTTGGGTAAAATGCAGTCTATTTCTTGCTTACGATGTTCAGGGTCATGCATGAGAGGTTTGTTATTGTCTGCAGTGAGCTTGATTTCCCCAAGTAATTGCTTTCAAAGGGAGCACTCATGTGGAATACAAATTCTCCTGTACTTGTCAATCTCCTGCAGGTTGTACTAAATCTATATCTGGGCTCACAGAATCCAGTAGAGAGGGAGATGATGTGCTGCTTCTACTTCCTGCAATTAGCAGCAGGAGCAAAAGGCTGACATATGTCTGGAACTTCCCTCTTCCTACAGACCCCATGCCTGCCTCCTAGGGAATTACAGCTTTAGATACTTCTGATTTTCTGATCCCTCCTTCCCCTCAGGTATTCATAAATTTAAAGGCCAGATCCTGCACAGTCAGGAGTACAAGAGCCCAGAAGGCTTTCAAGGCAAGCGCGTGTTAGTGATCGGTCTTGGGAACACTGCAGGGGACGTGGCAGTGGAACTGAGTCGAACGGCAGCTCAGGTACACCTGGGTGAATCCACACCCTCACCCCACCATCGTTATAAAACACAGTGGCCAACGGCTAAATCATGGACGCAGTATGAGTGCGACAAATCCACAAGTGACGGGATTGAACCGTCTCCAAGAGGGGTCTAGGAAATTGTATGGATGTCAGACCACTAGGCATCCTTCAGAGGCACTGTGTCAGAAACAAGACCAAATGGACAAACGATTCCACCCAGACCAATTATCTTTCTTTCACGCTCTCCCTTTGCAATTCTGGCGAAACCCCCGTAGAAACATAGAAAAGGGAAGTTGTTTTCTGACCATACTTGTTTTTAAAATAAAAGCAACCTTTACTCTGCCCACGAAGTGTCTGTAATGATTTTAGAGTGTCCAAGCATAGATTCACAAATTAGAAATCTGTTCCACTTTCACATAAATTATAGGACAATGATTCGATCTGGAAAGAATAGATTTTTATTTAACTCAGTTAAAATAGCTCTCTCAAAACATCGCTTTAAATTCTATATTACTTAGATGTTAAAAAAAAAACCTGCCTGATGAATAGTGCATATCTACTAGTCCTATAATTTTTCATAGTGAATATGATAAAAATACTTAACAGATATATAGATCAGATAAAAGTGATTTACAAAAACAATGGCAACAACAGAGACAGTCATTTATAGATCTATGTACAAATTTACCAGTTAAGAACAGATGTTATGAATGAAATCTTGCCATTTGCAACAACATAGATGGAGCTAAGAGAGTATCATGCTGATAACCAAAATGAGTCAGTCAGGAAAAGACAAATACCAAATGATTTCACTCATATGTAGAATTTAAGAAACAAAACAAACAAGCAAAGGGGAAAAAATAAGAGAGAGAAAGAGAGACAAATCAAGAAACAGACTCTTAACTATAAAGAATAAACTGATGGTTCCCAGAGGGGAGGTGGGTGAGGGGATGGGTGAAATAGCTGATGGGGATTAAGGAGCGCACCTGTGGTGATGAGCCCACGAAGTGGTGATGTATGGAATTGTTGAATCACTATATTGTACACCTGAAACTACTATAACACTGTATGTTAACTAACTGGAATTAAAATTTAAAAAACTTTTTAAACAAGGACAGATGTTATAACAACATTTGAAACACACCAAGGAAAAATACTACAAACTGATGTACATATATTTATCCTTTCTTCCTTTTTAGGTACTTCTCAGTACCAGAACTGGTGCCTGGGTTCTCCACCGCTCTTCAGCTGGGGGCTACCCACTTACTATGGTGATTACAAGAAGATGCCTTAATTTTACTGCACAAGTTCTGCCCTCGTGTGTACTAAACTGGATTCAAGAGAGGCAAATGAATAAAAGACTTAACCATGAGAATTATGGATTAAGTATTACAAAGGGGTACTTAAATTTTTTTATTTAATGGGAAAATTATTTTTCATTCTGCTTTATTCAGAACTCAAAATCTTCAATAATTATTATGCTGCTTTGTTTATTCTGTTCTGAGCTTAGCTCCTTAATTAAGACAATGTCCGTCAGGTACCACAGCAGTCCTTGAAATGGGAATATTCTCTGGTAACAAAAGTAGTAAGTAATTCATTAAGCTAGAAGAAAATGAAGGATAAAAACTTTACATTTCGGGCGCCTGGGTGGCTCAGATGCTTAAGCGTCTGCCTTCGGCTCAGGTCATGATCCCAGGGTCCTGGGATCGAGTCCCGCATCGGGCTCCTTGCTCAGCAGGGAGTCTGCTTCTCCCTCTGCCTCTCCCCCTGCTTGTTCTCTCTCTATCTCTCTTGCAAATGAATAAATATAATCTTTAAAAAAAAATTTACATTTCGAGCTTGAAAATCAGGAAATTAAAATTGGCTTTGAGGAATCTTGGAATGGCTGCCATCTACAAATGGAATATTTGCAGCATCATAAGTACAGATGGCCAGCTAACTTTTAATAAATGTCATCTCTGGCTGAATGATTAGATGATGCGTTTCCAACAGGAATTCCTAGAATTACATATTTTAATATATATCTGTATAAAGTTGCACATGGCAAGAGAAAGAAAACCTTTGAAATGAATATAAGGTCATTAAATGTGGCTTTTATTTTATGCTTGACCCAAATATTTTTCTTTGGTAAGACAGCTCTCAATGTATAAAGAAAATTAATGGCAATGGATAATTTGTCTTTTTTTTTTTTTTTTTAGAGAGAGTGAGAAAGAGAGACTGTGTGCACATGTGTGAGCGGGGGAGGGAGAAAGGGACCAAGGGAGAGAATTCCCAGTAGCCTCGACACCCAGCGCAGAGCCCCATGTGGGGTTGACCATATGACCCGGGAATCATGACCTGAACCAAAATCAAGAGTCGGTCGCTTAACCAACTGAGCCACCCGGGTACCCAGATATGTCAATTTTACAAAGACATTATGTCTGTTGTGATTAGATAGAATGATGTTCATAATGAAAATATTTATCAGCATAAATCTATTCAGATTTTTATTTTTATTCAAAAAGTTTCTTGGTAACTTCCTCTTTGCCTAATGTCAATCCTTGGAGGCCTGGGTGAGGTGAGACCCAAAACTGATTATTAAATGGTTTGTTGCATACTCGATCCTGATGCTTCAAGAAAAACATTGCTCCAGAAATGAATTTCAAGAGAATTTTAAACCCCAAGCAGGAAAAAATAGGTTTAAACATTGTCCATATGCCTTCTACTGGAAGTAGGAACACAAAACATGTTATTGCAACAGTAAGTTGGATAGGAAACTTTAAACTAGACATTGGTCAATTCACTGCCTTGGCTTGGCAGATAGTTTCCTTGAATTGACCAAATAAATGATTTGCTCAACTATCTCACAGATATAACTACAATGAATAATTCTCTCTTCTGTGTCAAAGGAAAAAATCAAAATTCATTGTGAATGATGAACTGCCAACCTGTATCCTTTGTGGGACAGTCACCATGAAAACCAGCTTGAAGGAATTTACAGAAACCTCTGCTCTCTTTGAAGATGGAACAGTGGAAGAAAACATCGATATTGTGATCTTCGCTACAGGATACACATTTTCTTTTCCCTTTCTCGAAGAACCTCTTAAAAGCCTTTGTACAAAGAAGATATTCCTGTACAAGCAGGTTTTTCCTTCAAACCTAGAGAGAACAACACTAGCTATCATTGGCCTCATCAGCCTTAAAGGATCGATCTTAGCGGGCACAGAGCTCCAAGCACGCTGGGCCACAAGAGTATTCAAAGGTACTTGACTCTATTTAAAGCCCTATGTGATCAACTGAGTCTTCGAATTAGTGCTTTGCGATTTATCCCAAATGGAACAGATATGAGCTAAAGTAACATAAAATATCAAAAGAGTTTAATGGATACTTAACTTCATATATGGGTAATATTATCATGGGTGTGCTATATCGCTAATGTGATAAAAGAGTGGGAAAAAGGTTTTGATTCTGTGGATGAGAATTGGACAACAAGATATAATCACATTTCTCAGATTAACTGAAATTATTGAAATTTCAGGATCCTCTATTCTGTTCTACTCTAAGTCTAGTCTAGTTTATTTGCTTCTAAATCTTATCATTTATTTCTAGAAGTAGAATTTTGTGCCGCTTCCAAAGAAAGTTATTAGAATAATGCACACTGTGTGATGAAGTTGAGTTCTGGGGAGATGGTAACCTTTGAGAAATGCCTGTAAAAAATTTTTTTTTACACTGGACACCAAATTGTCCATTTTCACTGTAAGAGCACAAATGATGGGGTCAGGGCTACCGGGGTCCGATCCTAACTCTAAAACTCATTATCTTTGTGAGGACCTCTCCGAATCTCAGCCATTTCATCTGTACAGTGGGGATAATGAAACCTCTTTCACAAGGATTTTGTAGGACGGACATCCGCCAAGCACTTACCACCCTTCTTGGCACACAGTGAAGGCTATAAATTGACAGCTGTTATTATCATACCTCGTTAAAGCAGGGCAAGTTTTAGATTAGTGAGCATTTTAAACAATTGCACTTGTATGACTTTTTAAATATAAACAGCAATCACAATTTCACCAACCAGCCATCCTTTAGCAGATGTGTGTCCTTAGTGAATAAAAACAATCACCAATAATTTATAAATAGGATATAATGCAGTACTAAGGAGTGTCGACTTCCATCGACTTCCATCACACTGTTCAAATGTAATAGACATCAAATTCCACACATTTCCATTAAGCGATCACAAATTTTTATTTCTTTAAGGCCAATTAAAGTGCTTTCACAGCATTATCTGATTATATTAAAACCACAAAAGATTCTGAAGTACCTGGTGGGTTTTTTTTAAGTGTTTTACAATGAGCTCAAAAATGCCTATCAGAATGATAGAGCTGACAAAATGAAACTCGGTTAGATCACACCCCAGGAGTAATTACATGCTTCTCCGGGGACGATCCGGGAAACACCAAGTAAAGCCTTGCCCACTTTTTACAGGATAAAGTGATGGTGGTGACAAGTACACTACAGAGTGAAGTCAGACCTAGCTCAAGTACACAGTAACCCCACCCTCTGGAGTCAGCACTTGGCTCCTAGCCAGAAGAGCAGAGCCCACACCCTGAGACTGTGCAGGTGAGAGGCTGAAACTGAGCACATCCTCACCGCCACTCAAGCAGTCAGAGCTCTGTGAGGCCGAGAGACCATCAGGCGCTTCCACGCTTGAGGGTCCTGCTATGACGAAAGTGAAGACATGTCAAAGCAGGGTTATAAAAATGAGGTCAATGTTAGTATTTCCATTTAACCAATGAATGGCTTTCACACACACATATAAATACAAACAGGCATATACAAACCATATAATACAAATGATATTATATATGACTATATGTGATGTGTGAGCAGATAAATGAGCTGGAGCAGGTGCTGATGACCAGTGGGCCCATGCAGGCTGAGGGCTGGGCCGTGGGTGTCCGTCCTCATGATTCTGGCAGTAGAGGACCCTAGGTAAGTGGGTTTGAAGGAGGACTTTGCCTCTGGAGATTACCTCTAATTCCAGACTAAACTTTGACTGTTACATGTCCTAAGGATAGAGCAGTGGGCGGCCCGAAATGAGGAGGAGGAGGAGAACTCAAAGGAAAATACGTGTGATGTTAATGTGTTTCCAATTTTTCTCACAGGACTCTGTAAGATACCTCCATCCCAAAAACTGATGGCTGAGGCTACTGAAAAGGAACAACTCATAGAAAGGTATGACAGGCATGACATGCAGCTTGTTCCAGCAAAACCTACCCATATATTACCTTATACACACACACACACACACACACACACGCACACACACATCCTCAATATAAGAGCCATTCCTAGAGAAGCACTGCAGCAGGTTGGATATCACTGCACTAGAGTCAGAAGAATATGTTTTTAATCTTAACTCTTCCACCAACTGGATTTGTGGCCTTAGATGTGTCAGTGGAGGCACCAACCACATCACCTCAGCAGAACAGAGAGCCTGGCCCCCAGCAGATGGCAAGCGTGGGTTCCCTTGACCCCCAGAACTCCACTGTGTCTTTGTCCTCCTGCCTCTCAGGATGCTCTTTCCCTGCATTTACTGGTACCTCCTCCTCCTCCTCATGCCTAAAGACTGGTGAACCTGGACCTTAACCCTCAGACCTCTTCTCACTTCCATTAACACTCACTCCTAGGAGGCCTCTTCCAGGCCTGGGGCTTTAAATGCCATCATATAGTCATGGCTCCCATACCACTTGGGTATCTCAATTTGAATATGTCGAAACACGAACTCTCGACCCCCATCACCGCCCCACCCATCTTGCCCATGGGCTGCTCTGAGACTTCTCTCCCTTTCTTCGTCACTCGCTACTCATTCCACTTGGTCCGTCTAAAACCCTAGAGTGATCCTTTCCTCCTCTTTTTCTCTCAGATCCCGTGTTAGCAAATACTGTCAGTGCCTACCTTCGAACAAATCCAGAATCCAGACCCTTCCAGCTACCCCCACAGCCACCCCCGACCAGGTCACTGTCATCTCTCACCAGGACATTTGCTGTCACCCCTGCTCTGGTCTCCCTGCTTCCACTCTCTTCTACAGTCAGATCTTGAACCACAGCAGGAGTGAGCAACACCACATTGTTCTGTTCAAAACCCTCTGATTGCTTCCCATTTCACTCCCAGAAACTTCCCTGCAACTCTGCAGCCCTCCGGAGCAACCAGCTAGCTCTGCACCCTCACTGCTCCCTGTCCTCCCACCTCGTCATACTGCTCCAGTCACTCCAGCCTCCTCCCTGGTCTGCAAACATGTCAAGGAGAGCCCTTTGCGCTTATATTCCCTCTGCCTGGAATGTTCTCCCCACCAGATAGCTACAGGCTCACTCTGTCAAATATCACGTCATAACTGAGAAGACTTCTCTCACAACACTGCATAAATATGGCAGCCCAGCCAGTCCCTTCATCGCATCTTCCCCCTACCTGCCTTTATATTTCTTAATAATACCTATTACCACCTGATTCATTACGTATCCATTTGGCTGGGGGTGGGGGGTAAAATTTTTTAAGATTTTATTTATTTATTAGAGAGAGAGTGAGTGAGAGAGAGAGAGCACAAGCAGGGGGAGGGGCAGAGGGAGAGGGACAAGCAGACTCCCCGCTGAGCAGGGAGGCTGACTCAGAGCTCAATCCCAAGACCCTGAGATCAATGACCTGAGCCAAAGGCAGACGCTTAACCGACTGAGTCACCCAGGTGCCCTGTCTGGGGGTTTCTATAGCCTATTAATTTCCTCACTAGAATGTAAGTGCTTTGATGACAAGGCCTTTGTTTTATTCACTGCTGGACCCCTAGCACCTAGGATGATGCCTGTCACGTGATGGACACTTAATATTTATTTATTGAAAGAATAAATGAAGGAATGAGTGAATGAATGACATTGGGACATTACGAAAGTTTACTAACAGCAGAAATAGGTAGGAATAAAGCTTTCATATACATTACACTCATATCTGTGTCATGTTCAAACCTGGTACACCACAGATGGCTCCCAATTAACATCAATAAAAATAATTTAGGTGGCGGGGCGCCTGGGTGGCTCAGTCATTAAGCATCTGCCTTCGGCTCAGGTCGTGATCCCCGGGTCCTGGGATCGAGCCCCACATCGGGCTCCCTGCTCCGCGGGAGGCCTGCTTCTCCCTCTCCTGCTCCCCCTGCTCGTGTTCCCTCTCTCGCTGTGTTTCTCTCTGTCAAATAAATAAATAAAATCTTTAAAAAATAAAAATAAAAAAAATAATTTAGGTGGCCATATACGTGATGCTTTCTGATCATGTTCATTCATTCAACTGTTGTATTTGGACTGACCAGATTTTTACCCTCATATCAAATTCAAGAACCTAAACCATTATCTAGAGCTCCTCTTCCAATTGCCTCCTTTTACCATTCCCTTTAACCAAATTAATTACCCTCACAAATACCCTTTGTAGATAAACTCCTCTCATTTTTTTTCTTTGCAACATAGAAAGACATTCCCAAACGTGGTTTGACTCCAATAAAAAGAAACAAAATGGTGGGAGGAGGGATGACTTATAACTTGAAAATGAAAAATGATCCATCTTTTTTCCTCTCAGGGGTGTGATGAAAGACACAAGTGAAGACAAACTTGAGTTCATTCTGTACCTGGATGACCTTGCTGCATGCATAGGCGCAAAGCCCAGTATCCCTCTTCTGTTCCTCAAGGATCCCAGGCTAGCTTGGGAAGTTTTCTTTGGACCCTGTACCCCTTACCAGTACCGCCTCGTGGGCCCTGGAAAATGGGTTGGAGCCAGAAATGCCATCCTGACCCAGTGGGACAGGACACTGAAACCCTTAAAAACTCGAATCGTTCCCAATTCCACCAAGCCTACATCCATGTCACGTTATTTAAAAGTTTGGGGGGCACCTATCCTCCTTGCCTCTCTTCTACTGATCTGTAAATCTTCGTTTTTTTTTTTAAATCGGTGCGAGATAATCTACAGGATAGAATTTCCCCTTATCTAATAAGTATTTGGTGAGGATGAATCTGATTCATTATAAAAGCTGTCCCTAGCCACGTTAATTCTATCTCCAAATATTTTGTGCATTCCTCCTCTCCTTCCCGTCTTAACTGCTATCATCCAAGTTCAGGTCCAGTCATCTCTTATCTGAATTATTATACTGTCTTCCCTCTGGTCCCAGTGCCTCCTTTTCCAATCCATATTCTACTCTGCTACCTAAGCAACTGTTCTAAAATAAAAATATTGTCACTGTTTCCATCAAGATCTTGATAGGAATAAAATGACACTCAAATTAGGTAATTTGTGGACATTTTAATATGGAGGTGATTACAACAGGTTTGGGCAGAGTGTAGGGAAATCATAGGGATAATAAAATACTCCCAGACTGGTAACAATGAGGTATTTTTACCATTCCTAGGCCTAGTGAGGCAAGAAGAGAAAACAATTACGAATGAGAGAGAGAGACTTCTTTGTGAAGAGGGCCACCTCTCAAGAGTTATGACCTTCAGATGACAGAGGAAGGCAGTCTGTGGTAACCCCAAAAGTACAGAGCTTGGGAATAAATTCTCTAACTTTATTTTCTTCCCTCCCTCTCATCCCCTACCCATGCTCCCCAATGGCCTAACCCAACCAAAACTCAAAGGGCAAGGTTGCCGACTATTGTAGATTGAATCATGTCCCTTCAAAAAGATATATTCAAGTTCTAAACCCTTGTACCTATACCTTATTTGGAAATAGGATCTTTGCAAATGTAATCAATTTAAGATGAGCTCATGCTGGAGCAGGGTAAGCTAGATCCCATATGACAGGTGTCCTTATAAAAGGAGAAGAAGACAGAGACATGGTAGAAAATGCCATGTGAAGACAGGCAGAGGTTAGAGTGATGGACCTACAAGAATCACCCAGCAAGCAAACACTGGCAGCCAGGGGAGAGGCATGAACAGATTCTCCCTCAGAAACTCCAGAGGAAAGCAACCCTGCTGACACCTGGATTCCAGACTTTTAGCCTCCAAAACTGTGAATGAATAACCCACTTGGGACACTTCATTATGGCAATCCTAGGAAACTAACACATGGACTGATGTCATCCATGGAGGTCAGCCTTCAAAAGTACAGACTGAGCAGACAATGGAGAGCATATGAAAAGGATCCAGTGCAGACATGTTGCTTTCCGGTTTAAAATCCCTGAAAATGTCTCTTTGATCAGAGATAATGGTCCAAATTCCTTAGCCTGGAAAAGGAAACCCTTTGTGATCTGAGCCCATTTGCCCGATCTCCAGAATCCCCCAGCCCCACTTCAAACCTCCCAGCCAATACTACCAACCTCTGAACTGTGCCATACCTCCTTACTTTGGCGCAAGCTCTTGCCTCCGCTGGGAGCTCCAACTCCAACTGTCTTTCGAGAGACACTCAAGTATCTCCCTCTGTGAAGCCTTCCCTGAATCCTCAAAGCAGAGCTGGCCCCACTTTGTAATGACTGCACCTCATGCACTGCTTTGTCATTGCCCTTTCTCACTGTAGCGTATAGTTGATCCTCCAACATCACGGGTTTGAATGGAATGGGTCTACTTATGCGTGGATATTTCTCTCAGTGATTACAGTAGAGTCCCGTAAATGTATTTTCTCTTCCTTATGATTTCCATAATAACATTTTCTTTTCTCTAGCTGACTTGATTATAAGAATACAGTCTATCATACAAATAACACACAAAATATGTGTTAATTGACTATGTTTATCAGTAAGGCTTCCAGTGAGCAGTAGGTTATGATATAACTGTACTGTTGAGTTTGGGGGAAGTCAGAAGTTATTCAGATTTTTGGCTGTGCAGGGGTGCATTGTTTAAGGATCAACTGGAATATTCTTTTTGAATCTGTCTCCTAACAAATGGTGAGTTACCGAGAGGAACCGTATCTTGTTCAGCTAAAACTGCCTGATGCAAAGTACTGCTAAATAAATGATTGCTGATTTAACAGTGGCCTCGCCAGCTGACATTTCTTGTCTGTGCTCTTCTACCCACATTCTTTCTCCTGCCAACATGATAAATTTCCTCAGATTACCTCAGCCATGCAAATGAACAAGGATAGTCCACCAACAGCAAGAAATCCATATGGCAATTGGAGTAAATATAACTACAGAGTAACTGGGAGCCATGTGTACTGGTTGAAAACACTAACTCTAGAATTTGGCCTGGATTATAATCCCAGTTCTGCACTAGCTGTGAGGGCTTGGCCAAGTGACTCTCTGAGCCTCAGTACCCTAATCCGGAAAATGAAGAGAAAGTGCACAGTGAGACAGTATAGAGTGTTAGACGCACAGTGATTTGACTATTAATAGCTGAAGAGTCTGAGGACATTTTCAGTTTTCTAAATTAAAGGATTTGAAACCTGTTGCCTAGTTCTTTTCCCTCTTGCCTCGTCAGAAAGCATGGCCTTGGGTCTCCATGAATTCTCCAGTAGCACTTTCCAGCTAGGATCACTCTTCTGTCCTTGTGACCCCCCACCAAATCCCTGAGACCCATTGCCACCACCATGGCTGTCACCACCATGACACTACCCATGTGCTACTCAGATGGACTCTCCAGAATACAACAGGTCAACATCAGCCAAGGAGGAATTGTTCTCAACCATTAGGAGTGGACCCCTTGACATAACTTGTTGATGCATCTAGATTTTTACTGACAACATCACCCAGTAGAAGGGGCACCTAACTCCAAATCTTCAAATCCAACTAATACTGACCCACTGCAGCAATGCCACATTTAAGTCAACTGTACCCAAGTTCCTGAAGGAGAAAGCAGAGCCAAGATGTTTTTATTACTCATTACATGATGTAATGTTGTGATTTTTCCCATGTATTAATTTTTAGATGAGAAATCAAACTCAGAGAAGTTAAGTAATTTTCCCCAAGTCACAGAGCAAGTAGGAGACAGAACAGAGATTTGAAGCCAAACATATGCAACCCTAATGCCCAGCCTGCCTCATCAGTTGCCTTGAGAGAGATCTCCTCCATTCACTTCTTACCACCTTGATTTGCTTATGGGTGAAGCTCCAAGCTGGACACCTCCTCCCTACACCTTGAATAGACTTCTAAGCACTGTGCTTATCACATTCCATGACCCCAGTTCTCGAAAAACAAATGTGTCCTGAAAAAGTCACTGCAAGTAAATCATTTTAAATGGTAACACTTTCCACATAGAAAAACATGCTATTTGTACGCCACACTGGGATAAACTAGAAGGGGTAGGGGCTTAATTCCTAACTAATATTTTTTTAAAGATTTTATTTATTTATTTGACAGAGATGGACACAGCGAGAGAGGGAACACAAGCTTCCCGCGGAGCAGGGAGCCCGATGCGGGGCTCAATCCCAGGACCCTGGGATCATGACCTGAGCCGAAGGCAGATGCTTAATGACTGAGCCACCCAGGCACCCCCCTAATTAATATTTTTAAGGACAATCTCTTCAAGTTGCCACAACCTGGTGTGAAAATAATGTAAGACCATTTTATAGTCATTCAAAAAATCATAACAGTTGAGCTATGTAAAGAATGTAACAATTCTTTCTTTTGTTGATAAATGTAACATTGAAAGGTTTTTCTATGACAAGAATAGATTCAAATCCAACCAACTTTTTGCAAAACAACTAATTCAAAATAAGACATAGTTCAAATTTGGGCACCTGGCTGGCTCAGTGGGTTGAGCATTTGACTCTTGATCTCAGGGTTGTAAATTCAAGCCCCATGTTGGGTGTAAAGATAACTTAAAAAAATAAAATCTTGAAGACATAAAGACATAGCTCAAATTAGTAGAAGGAGTGTGCTCGATAAGAGCATTCACTCTGCAGGCACCTTGGATGTGCACTAAAATGGCACATTGGCCACAAATGCACAGAATTAGCTATTGTCTGTGAAGGTAGGAATCTCAGGCCTCTGTTGGGAGTTACACCTACCAGAAAACCCCCACCCACTCCCTGCCCCCTCAACAACCCATCCACCATCACCACCTTGGTAATCCACCATTCCAACTCCACCAGCAAGCCTACAGTCCCTTTGTCCATAATGAGCAATGGCAAACTCTGCGGGTTTGAGCTGCAGGTCCAGCTCAAACCTCAGAGCAGCTGGGGAAAGCATCAAATGTAGCACCCCCACATCATGCATGCTGCTAGAGGGGACGATGCAGAGCCTGCTGTCAGAAAGGCTGCTTCCAGTCTTAGGGCTCTGTGCACACACTCCAGTTGCCCCTGATCTCAGCTGGCCAAACGGGGCTGATGGAATCCACTTCTCCAGCACAGTGGGTGGAAGTTTTGTATTTAGCATATCTGTAAGGAGAAAATGTGACAAAGTGGAATGGATGGGGAAAGAGAGTGGAAGGAAATGAAGAGCAATAAGAAAACATTTATTAGTGAATATTTTTGTACTATGACAATTTCACTTTCCTACAGTCTTGTAACATGAGAGATTCAGGTAACAAATCCCCAGACAAGAAAGACTCCTTGTGATTATTTCTTTGCATCCTTCCAATTGTGCACTCTTTGAAGGCAGAAACAGAAAGTAGCCTAACTGAGAGGCACCTGGGTGGCTCAGTCGGTCAAGTGTCCAACTCTTGGCTTTAGCTCAGGTTATGATCTCAGGGTCATGAGATCGAGCCCCACGTTGGGCTCCACACTCAGCATGGAGTCTGCTTGTCGTTCTCCCTCCCCCTCTGTCCCCCCTTCCACTCACTCTCCCTCTCTCTCTCACAAATAAATAAATAAATAAAATCTTAAAGAAAGGAAGAAAGCCTGATTGAAAGGCAGTCCAATAAAGCAGTTCATTGAATTAAATTGGGTTTCCCCAGACTGACAAGGCTTCTTAAAGTCTCATAGATTTATTTTCAGTAGGCTCTGGGAACAGTCTAATGACTACAGCAGTGGAACTGAGGTCTTTGGGCCCTAAGCAATTCCAATGTCTGTACCTCTGTGTACAAGAAACACATTATCAGTTCTCCGAAGACAGCAGGAGCAAAGAGAGGTCAATGGTCAGTGTTCACTAAAGATAATTTTCTCATACTCCAAAACTTATCCAGGAGGATAAGACTAGACTTTAACTTGACCAAACAGGGTCCAGGAGTTGACTCTGCTTGCGATATTGCTTATAAGGAGACAGAGAGTTGCAGTGGTCCACATGGCATCTCTGTCCCCCTACTCCCAGCCCCCATGAAATGTATCATTCTTCTTCTGGATCC